CCCCAAAACCCCAAAACCCCAAAACCCCGAATAGCTTTGAAATTGAAGAATTTTCTAGGAATGTTTAAATTTTAAAATGTTAATAAATAATTTTTTCAGAATCACTCAAATGGAGCTGAATCTCTATGGGTATCATTTGCTCCTACTTTACTCTTTTTTAGTATAAGTAGCATTAAATTAGACAAAATGAAGAAGAGACAGATAAGAAGATTTCTAATTGCATGGGGAATAGGTATAATTAAAATTAATTTGAATGATTTAACCTCTGCTTTCAGTTTATTTGATTACGATCATTGTTGCTACATAATTCCCAAAAGCACTAGATGTTAGCACTTATTAAGCTAAGTCTTCGAATGTATTATTCATCTGAAGTCTGATTATTATTAGGATGAATAAGTAAGTAAGTTAGAGTTCAGAGAATGCATTAATTTACTGAAAGAGCAGCATGATTATTTTGATATGACAGCAAATGTTAAAATAGAACTCAAAAAATAACTTGATAAGGTATGCAAACTATACACTAACATACTTAAGTCAATTTCATATCCCCTAAACAAATTTTGGAGTTTAAACTAATGATTATAGGAGTAAAAATTGATCTTAAAGTACAATGTATCAATGTAAACTACCGAAAACCCTTAGCTTTCTTAATAATGCAATGCTCCACTTAGTTAAGATAGTCTAGCAGTGTTAAAAAAGCCTTAAGACAAACTTACATGGAATCCAGTCATTAACAACCATCTCAAGAATAGAACACTAAATTGTGAATAACTAGCAGATCTATAATATCAAGTAAAACATATCATTGAAAACTAATATAATAGTGTTCTGATGTTCCAATAGCTTAAGGAGATTATGATGAAATTATGCAGAACAATTTCATTTATGTAAACACAAATGCTAATTAAGAAATATATCAAGTTTAAGAGATAACCTTTTTCCTTAAAATGAGAAACTTAGATCATACTAAGAGCTTAACTTAAATGAAATACTTCTTTGTTATTGTGGGCTTGTTCACTCTATTTTACTACTATAGAGCTGTAAGATTATTTATTGTTAACATAAGTATCAAATTAGATTTCTCATTTTTAAATGGATGATCTTGGACTTATATAAAAATGGGTGTTTGTTCTTTTGGTGCAACTATTATTCTTCGATGATCCATTCTATGCAGCAAGAAACATATTCCCCTATAGTTCTTACTCTATCATTTAAGCACTTTGCTAGGCTACTTTTCTTTCAATGATACTATTTTTCTGGCTTGTCGTAGTTCATTCTATTTCATCAGTATGACATTATTTTTTCCAATTAATAATCTACTAGAATGAAGTGATAAACATTGATGAAAGAAGATTTTACTTGCCTAAAGTAGTACTTTGCCTCTGTATTTGGGTAGTTATGATGCTTTCATCAGGCTATCTAAATCTTTAATAAATCAGCGATCCCAGTTTTTACTGGAGAGACGATATTGGTTCATTTTACTCTACTATGCAGATTTTGACAGTCATATTATTTTTCCTCTACTTTACATACTTTGTCATCGTAGCCTATGTTGCATTTTTCTAAATAAAGGAGATGAAAAAGTCTTATAAATTTAGTCTCTATATGACTTTTGGGGTGATATTTATTAGTATCTCAATCATAATTTTAAACAGCTACAGACCTGTATCAAATGATAGTAAGTTTTATTAGTGCCATAATGATTTTTAGCTGTAATGTACGTATCATTCTACTCCTTAATGAATATTTACATGTTCATTATTGCCTATTTGTATTCACCATCAGTAGACAGTTTAGAAGATTTACAGTTTAAGCAAACAAGAAAAGAACATGAACATATTATGAATCAGTTTTATGAATAAGAACTGCCAGACATCTCGAAGGAAATGGATTCCTCCAGAGAAGTCTTGAATAAAGACAGAAAGAAATCAAAAAATGGAGTAGAAAAACGAAGATATATGAAGAAAGATCCTGAGCAAAAGGCAAAAGATGTAAGCGAACTTAATTATTTATAAATTTCAGAAATTATGGGAGAGTATCATCAAGGAAACAGAAGATGAAGATGAAAGCAGTAGTGATGAGGATCATTAGATTTGAGTTAGTTTACTTTAACTATATAAATGTTCAAATATCATTTTTAATTAAGAAGTCAATGTATTAAATGCTATTGGCATACTCTCAAAAATTATCAAAAAATTAAGCAGTAACCCGAATTATTATCTGGATGCTTTTTAATTCTTGCTTCCTCAATTAGGATGTTTACCATTTTCTTACGATTTGGGGATGAACTTTTCCTCTTTTCCCCACTGTCTTCACTAAGATCAGCACTAAACATTGACTTTCTCTTCCTTTCAGCTGAAACTTAGATTTGGGAGTCAATTAGTTCTCTATCAGCTCGCTCCTCATCCTAATCAATATACTGCTTATATTTTTCCTCTAAGTAACTAAAACTAGGAAGAGACATCTTTTTAGAACTTAATGATCCTCTTTCGAACTCCTGTGATATATTGTTATTTTTTAAATAGCAGAACGTCCATTTATTTGTTTGCTTGTAAAGATATATACCTAACCCTTGCATTCTGCCCTTATAGAAGTATCCCTAGTAGATATCTCCTTCATGAAATTAAGCTCTAGCAAATCCATGTAATAAACCATTCTAAAAAATGAATGAACGAATATTCATTACTTTATACTCTCCGATATCAAATTTTTAATCAGAATATACAGTTATACCTATACCATTAGGCTTATTATTTTTCCAAGAGCCTTCATAACGGCTCCCATCCTTGTGATACATTACACCGTTTCCTTCATACTTTCCGTTTACAACATCCCCCTAAATTTTAAAGCATTAATTAAATATTACCTCATAATGCTCAAAGAAAAAATCCTTAGGCTTGATATAAATTTCTTCAAAATTGGGATCATCATGAACAATTTCTTTAGATATCTCAAGACTTTGGGGTTTTCCTTTGCCAGTTTTAAGATTTTTTATCATTCTCCCATTCTTGAATTCACATAATTCCCAAGTTTCACTTTCATTCTAATAGTAAAGGCCCTTCCCATGATATTTACCCTCAATTACTTCTCCTAAATAAAAGTCCTAGGTGTCGCTGTAGAAGAATATTCCTCTGCCAGTAATAGCGTTTTCATGAAAGTCACCTTTATAAAACTGATTTTCAGCTGAGAAGTAATATATTCCCTTGCCATGCATTTAGCTATTTACCCAGTCCCCATTATAGGCATCCCCATTAAGAAATATCTGAATTCCTTTACCACTCTTCACCTTTTCATAAGTTTTATTGTTTATCAGTCCTTGCGACTTTGAATTATTGATTTATATAGGAATCTCTTCAATATCTCCTTCATAAACTCCCTGCTCATCCATAAGTCTCTAAATCTGTACTATCATATCAATTTGAAAATTTATTTACATTAAGGAATGTACTTTGCAGTTATCCTGAGTCTTTTGCAATTCGCTGCATCTAATTCTACCTCCCTCTCTCTAAGTAGCATTGGATGAGGGTCGCCCCTACTAGACTCAGTTAACTCCTAATTTTGACTTGATTTATTCTCCATGGATATGTTTGAGAATTAATTTAAATTTTAAATAAATTAAAAACAAGGGTAATTTATATTCTATATTTACAAGCGATATTGATTTGTATACTTATATTCATTCAGGTGTGAGCAAGAATAGTGTCCCTTTTATAAATTCATAAATTCTACTCTTTTATCATTCATAATTTTCACTAGTTGACATTGTTAGCATAAAGTACTTTCTAGATGTCCTGCATTAGGTTTCCCTCGTTATCCATCCAGTTTAATTGATCTCCGAGACTCTCTATCTTCCTACATTTTTCTAGGTATAAATTCCTTTCCCTCATTAATGCTAATTACTTAGCTCTCATATTCTTCTCCTAGTCCAAACACTTTTTATGGAGCACGATTAATCTTTTCAGTTTATCAGAAAGGCTAAAGAATTTTATTAATATTACTATTTTACTATTATAGAGCATCTTTGGTATCTTTATCTTATTCCATCAACTGCTCAACCTAAACAGTGATTTGACCTATCAATTCCCAAAGTTAATTTTTTGATGAACTCATTTTGAAATTATTTAATTTAAATTATATATTTATAATTATTGATAAACAAGTATTAATTTTTGGTAGATATATTCAAAAGTTAAGTTAAATTCATGGATTCATTTATTGCTATTGTAACATAGGTTTTTCATTTTCCTTTACATGATTGTAGACACGAGAAAACTGATCTTTGCTCTGCTTAAGCCACTGCTTTATAGGACTATGATTTTTAGAATTGGAAAATGAAAACTAATGCTATTGCTGGAATTGAGACACCTAGGGCTAAAAAGTGGAATGTCTGAAACTTGCAGACTCCATAGTATTTTTACGATACTCACTAACTTAGTCTGAGATCTCACTTTCGACTTTTTCATGGATTACTCTTTGCTGATACTTGGAGATCATATCAATTAACGGACTATTCTGCTCGTAAATGTCTTTGCTAATTACTATGTTAGTGGTTTGAACTGACGGCCGCTTAGAATCTAGTCTTGGATTGGTCCTATAGTGAGATTAATCGTTGTCATTGTAAACATTAGATGAGTCATATTGCTCTAATTATTCCAAATGAGTATTATTAATTGCAATATGCATCCCTCTTTATGATATATTACTTGGGTATCTTTTATTAAGTAAGCCTCTAGGCTATTGAGATTTTTAATAGATTTGACTCTAAGAGATGATAATCATCTCATTTCCTAACTTCTTTTTCCCTTTAGTTTTTCTTAGATTAGGTTTATGAGTATCTAGCTTATATTTCTGTTAAGCTTTAGATCTCTCCTGCTCAATAAGCTTTAGTTTTCTGTCTCTAAAGCTCTCTCTGTTGCTTTTAGGAGTCTGAAGCATCATTTTGTCTGGAGATTTGGTTATTTGAATGAATTTGATGTTCGTATCTAAATCAATTGAATCATATTCTTTAATCTCATCGTTATCCTCTTCCTCACTGTTATCTATTTAAATGAAATTTTCATTGTTATACTAGTAATTATCAGCATTATCTTCAGCTTGAACACCAATATCAAACTTTTGAGGATTTTTATGAATAAACGGTTTGCGTCTTAGCTAATCTCTTACCTATATTTATGCTTTTTGAATGAAAGAAATAGATTCTATCTCTTCTCTTTGTCTAAGCTTACTTTGGTTTGCTCTAATTTTAGAATCAGAAGCTCTTCGAGCGTTTTCTTGTACTTATTTGTTAGTAATAAGTTTAAGATTTTTAGTTTCGAAGCAGGCAAGTTTTATATCAGAAGAAGTCGCTGGCTCCTCTTAGTTGTAATAACTGGTAATAATCTCAGGCATAAGATGTAATTAAGTTCTGTTAGTCTCGTTACGTCCTCCTCGAAGATACTTTTAGAGCTTAGAAGTAGTATTCTTGATGTTAGCAATACCATTCAAATCTTAATTCATTTGCCTAGTAGTATTATCATTTGGAACTGGTTAAACTCCACATCTAATGTTACTAGTATATCGGGCATGATTCATTTTAGACTTTGAAATTCTGATATCAGTTCCAGATTGCTAAAGTCTGTATTCTTCTTTTGATTGTCTTCATGAGAAATTAATTGACTTATTGATATGCTTTGGCCTGATTATTCTTTGAATAAATGCCTTTTACCCAGCCTAAATAGTATTTGTTGATTTTAAATGCTCTTCATTGCTCCACTTGACTATTGTCTAATTAGACTTGAAATTAAGTTCGATCGCTTGGTTAGAGTCATTTAGTACAGGAAAAGGTTTCAACACAAAAGTGTCAAATTTATTGTCAACATGCTGACCGTCAACTCTCAAATTTCTTATCCTGTCATTCGAAAAAGCAGTATCCTCTTTTTTCTCTATTTTTACTGGTGAAACATCCAGTGACTTGCCTGTCTTATAATCCTGTTATTTAACTCTTTAAGCATCATTCATCTAAGATTTGTTCTTATCCACTTTATTTTTCTGCTATATTGTGTGCATCATTATCAGATCGAACATTGTCTAAGGTACTTTTGATTAATTCCTGTTACTTCTGTTGACTGCGATGCTTTTATTAGCGATCCGACTCCGATTATGCTTGTTTCCGATAAACGATTGTTGTTGTATATTTTACTGGATAAAAGTTTAATTAAAGCCCTGATGTTGTTGCTGAAGCATTTGTATATTAAAATATTAACAGATAAATTTATTATTAAAATCTAAAATTTTCCCTTATCTACAATTCTGGGGGTTTTGGGGTTTTGGGGTTTTGGGG